AACGTCAGTACACACCGGGATGTCACGCTGAAACAGCCAAACTGCATGTAGACGCTGTCATCAAGCAGAGTTTCATGATGATGTCGTTAAGCAGTGGCCATGCCCAAGACATGGTTTCCCCAAATGGAGGCTCAATCGATGCAACGCTAGTCGACACCAGGATGTCACGCTGAAAAAGCCAAACTGCGTGTAGACGCTGTCATCAACCAGAGTTTCATGATTATGTTGCCCAATAGCGGCCATGCCCAAGACATGGTTTCCCCAAGTAGACGCTCAATCCATGCAACGCGAATCGACACCAGGATATCATGCTGAAACAGCCAAACTGCATGTAGACGCTGGCATAAACATGATTTTCCTGATGATGCTGTTAAGCAGTGGCCATGCCCAAGAGATGGTTTCCCCAAGTAGACGCTCAATCGATGCATAAAAAACCGGACCGATGTAAGATAACCCTACCACTTGTAAAACCCTCTGAAAAATGTTAGTATAGAGGGTCCCTTATTAAAGCATATCCCAGGGGCTACACCCAAACCCTATAACCCTATTAGGCTATAGTAGTTTCCATTTTCTTTTCCATTATCCAATATATAACCCCAATATAAACCCCAAAAAGCCCAGGAGTCTACCCAGGGGAGTCCTACCCAGAAATGGAGCCCTGGCCTCCGCGCAAGTCGCGAGGCCCTCCGCTGGGAATGCCTCCGCCAAGTCCGTTTGCCTCGGCGGGGTGGGGCTAAAACGACATCCCTTATGGTTTAGGGTTTAGGGTTTAGGGTCTAGAGTGTGTAGGGTTTAGGGTTTAGAGTGTGTAGGTTTTTTTTTGCGCGCCTATTTTGCGTCTGCACGACACAAGGAGCCGGAGTTCAGGTCATGGTTCGGTCAAGAAATGACACGTTCTCAGCTCTCCACAGTGTGGCTGAGCAAACGATGAGCAATGAAGCTTTCCAGGACATGCTCACCATACAACTCACTCACCTGTTCATTACTGAACCCTCCGGTGTTCCAGGCATTAAAGACGCTTACGCCTTCAGCACTGACCAGGAACTCTCGTCTTCCGCTGCAATCTGAGAAACCCTGGCACTACGCCGCAACTTCCCTCCACTCACTCCCTGCTCACTGCACTCAGACTTCACCCTTGTCGGTGTCACCATTTGCGTGGCCGCCGAAGAGCTCGCTGGTGTCGCTTGTCCAGGAGGCATGTCGTCATCAACCGACCACGTCAGCCCCATGGTGACAGGCATGTTGGGTCGCGTCCATAACGTGAACTTTTCTTGCACCACATTGTCTGCTTCAAGTCTGACGTGCATGACCAGTCTTTGCCTTTTGGGTGAGGGCGGGCCATTTCGCATAGCGTCCCATATGACCCAATCATCCCATTCCTGGGCCACACGACTTGCCTCCATTTCCTTCATGATTTCCCAGTTGGAGTTGTCATGGTCCTGCTGGTTCTGCAAGTCTTCTTCATGTAGGGCAAGTTCATGACCCCACCTTTGTTTATCAAACTCCTCCTGTTGCCGTTGAACTTCTCGACGCAGTTGGTGTTCTTCCGCCACCATCTTGTCAATTTCAGCCGCGTCCTCAATCTCCCTTGTCACATGGCCAGGTTCAGACTCTTGTGATTCAATGATGGTGGCCACCTCGTCCTTTGTTGGGCTCTTGGCCTTCGCTTCCAAAGCCTCCTCTGCCACAATCGGCTTGAGCAGGCGCAGCCACCATGTATGGCACCATTCTTTATCCTCCTTGTTTTCAATCCCTTCCATTTCTCCGTCTTGGTCTCCATATGCCACAACAGCCGCTTCCAATGCAGCTGCTCTCTGTCCCACACAGCGCCTTCCTGCATGGCTGCCGTTCGTTTGCTGAGTAGGCCTCGAAGCAGTTCTGCCCTAACCTGGGCGCGCACTTTGGGCAGTGCACTAAGCTCATCTGTCAAGAACTGTAGCTCCAAGCCATAGGTGGAGATGCCCGCCTCTGAACGGTGGACCTTGGCAGAAGATTGCATCATCGCATTTTCATCCATCTCTTCCTCCCCATTACCTTCTTCTCCATGAAGTTCCTCAATCCTTGCCTGGAGGATTTCGGCGATTTGCGATTTGCGCTGATTCAAGACTTTGAATCTGCTGGTGAGCCACAAGCATTGTTGTCACTTCCGGGCCTGTCCATTCCCCAGATGTATTAGCCACACGATCCCTGACATATCGGGGATATCCCAAGGTATTTGGCTCATGCTCGTAGTCCAGGAGGTCCCGCCATAATGCCAGGGCATCTGTCAAGGTGATCTCATCCTGCACCGGTTGTTGCTCAGGTTGTTGCCCACCAGTACTAGCCGACGGCCTCTCTGCCTCCTTGCCCTCTTCCTCGATGCGCACAACCTCCAGTTCTTCTTCTGGTGCTGGAGCACGGCATGCAGTGGATGATCTCCGTTTTGAGTTCCACACATTGTAAGGCGCCAACTTCCTGGTCTCAGAGGTCTTCTGCATCTTGCCTTTTTTCCCTTTCCCCATCGCCGCTTCTCCTCCTTGTACCTTCTGCGGTGATCCGGGCCTCCTCCTGATGGCAGCATCCACCTTTCACGTGGATTGCCTTTGCGCCTCCATGGAGGAAGGTTTGTAGCATACGCCATCAAAGAGGTGTGATCTGGCTGCTCATCGATGTCCATGTCAGGCAGCCATTCCGGTTTGATTTCATCTCTATTTGCCAGAAGCTCTGCCTCCCTGCGCTGCTGGAAGTCCAAATTCACTCGCTCTGCGATCTCTGCAGGATTTTCCATCACCATCCCCTGTTCAACTCCCAGCCTTGACTCAGTGATATCACAGGAGGACTGGCTGGCGCACTGCATCTCCACCATCTGTTCACCAGGGCTCTCCACCTGGTGTGAAGGAGAATCCATGTCCAGTTCCTCTGCTGGAACCACTTGTAAGGAGATTTCTTATAAAGTAGGTGTCAGGTCATTTGTGTCAAGTGTTAGAAAAATGGCCCAAAATATGCTTTGACATGAGGTTGGTGTTAGAAAAATAGCCAAAATATGCTTTGACATGAGGTTGCATCAAGGTATTGTTGCTGCTGTTGTTTTTGTTGGCAACTGAACCTTGCTTAATTCGACAGGAATTTGCCACACACGCAAAAAAAGACAACAGCATACAGACACCAGCAAATTTATGTCACATGAGTGTGAAATGAATCTGCAAAATACAAGCTTTTCAGAAGATTTTCCATTGATATAACATTATGCGCTGAAATCCCTGAGCCCTAAACCAACACCATGTGATGTATCAGCGAACTAAAATTCAAGAAGATGACACCATAACATAATAATTACACACTGGGAAATCACACTCACGAACCAATGGATCCCTAAATCCTAAACCTGGAAACTAAACTTGAAATCTAAACCCTCAAC